CATGCGGCGCGTCCCGCCGCCGGCATGGGAGCCCCGCGCCTCTCCCGCTCGGCTGCGCTCCAGCGGCTCCTTCCCGGCGGGGCCGCGGCAACTTTCCCTTCCCCTCCCAGGCTCCTAGTAGTTGCCCGACCCTCCTCCTAACCTCCTCCCTCCATTGAGAGATCCAATGGGGGAAGGAGGGGGCGGAGTCGGGGTTGGGGGGGGCGTGAGTGCCGGAGCAGAGGGCAAATTTGCTTTTTTGTCCAGTGTCCCGACCGAACATCGGTCGGGACGCGGGACAAAGAAGGAAATATCGGGACTGTCCCGATAAAATCGGGACGTCTGGTCACCCTATTTGAGAGAGAGTCCAACAGTTTGTGTGAATAAAACAAACTTTAATAATGTACAGCAGAAATTGGACAGCTTGTTCTTATATTAAACACAAGATTTCCTATATTACAATGTATTTACATTTGCATACTGAAGAGGTAAAGTGTCTAAGTGACTATTTTACAGTCCTTTTCTAATAAGATGTACATAGAAAGGGGCAGAGAAGTACCCAGAAAGATCTGTTCTGAAGCCAGAGTACCATCCATTCATCTTGTGTCCAAGACTAGAGGCACAAGCTTTGACCTGAAACCCTTCCTCAGTTTGATCCCATTGATCAACCTGAAACACCTCCCCTGGTTGAACCAAATGCCTAAACCCAATTGTTTTGTTACTGTATGCTGTGAAAACAGCTGGTGTGTTTCACTTCAGACAAGACTGCATTTCAGTGCCGGGCAAAGTGATTTCTAGATTTGCTACAAGTCAGCTAAGTAAGGTTTGCACACCACTCTTGCACAGTTGTATGAAAAGTGCTGTATAAATGCTACATTGTTATTCCCATTTCAGAGGGTCCAGCGAGGGTTTGACTGCTCTTATCTGTACCTATGAACTGAGTGTGTTTCACAATCCTTATCACAAGGTGATACCAACCCCTTCCACCCCACCTCTTCTAGACATTCGGGTCCAGTACAACTCTGGCATGTGCTGTTTGGTATGGTATTGAGGCAGGTACATGTGTGGCTACTGTTGGAGGGTGGCAGAGCGGATCAACCAAGGAATTAAATTGCTGAATTAGTGTCATAAAGAAAGTCTTTGGACAGCTAATGGAACAGGAGACCTTGTGCTCTGGAGGGAGAATTTTCTTAATGCTCATGGGAAGACCAGATGGCAATCCCTACTTATCAGTGTGATGGGCCTCTCTAGGGCAGTTTATTTCAGTTGCTCAGACTTCCGCCCCAGCCCAAGTCTCATCCTAAAGGTCCCGCCACAGTAGCTGAAGAGTCTTGTAGGTATTTTTAAGGCACACACCACCTTGGTTTCTCAATGCAGAAGAAGGGTTCAGTAAGTAACAAGTCACATTGGAGATGCAGTAATTTCTGGCTGAGAAATAATCAGAACCAATGAGAAGGGGAAGCTGTACATTCACCAAGCACATATGCTGCCCCGCGAACCCAGAGTCTAAGATGCAGACCGCTGCAGACAGGAGACAGCTCTGTCCTGCCTGTCATTTAAAAGCAATGGGAGAATGCAAAAAAGACTCCTCATTTGACAGATCTAAATCACAGATGGGATGGGGGCCCGAGGGAAGAGAGAGACAGTGAGAACAGAAAGTCTGTTAAAAAACAACAACCTGCGAGCCAGAGAAGAGATGAACGCTCAACTTACAGAGCAGGCTCAAGGTTCGAGTAGAAAGTTCCAGTGTAAATTCAGCTGTGTGCATTTGGATTTTTTTTTTCTTTTTTGCAGTGATTTCTTTACAAACAAAGAGGTTGAGAGGTAATTATAGATTGTTTCTCTTCTCTTATAAAAATTAACAATATTAAAAAAAGTTAAAATCCAGACCCTCCCGATCAAATAAAAAATAATCAAATGCACTCCAGTTAAAAGTTATGGCTTCAGTTACACAGCGCAGATAACACCCTAACCATCACACAACCCAGCCTTCTAATGTTGCCTTTAATGCTGCATTCAGTTCAGACACAGGACTCTGCCCTGGACTATTTCTAACATTCACTAGGCAACAGTCAAATCAATTCTACTTCACCCTGATTGGTTATTCAATTAAAATAAGATTCATGCAGTTACCCCCTCCCTACCCCACCCGAAGAGTTATACACAGCTGCTTCCAGAATATGAGATATTTATATATGTATATTTAAAAGATATACACGTATTTCCAATCCTAGTCGCCAATGGTCAGATCCTGCAGCGTGCCGAGTGCTCCTTGAGAGGTGCTGTGCACAATTGTTTTCGTGGGCACAGATCTTCACAGATCAGACTTTAAATGCTTGGCTCCAAGTTATAGAGTGTTCCTGCCAAAGCCCTTTGAGAGATCCAAGGGTTATGCTCCTAAGAGGCTGATATCCTGCATGTCCCTGTGGCCTGGTCCCCTCCACCCAGGGGTAGCGCCAGCTCCAATCTCTCAGACACGCTTCTTGTCTCCTTTGCATCCCTCCCGCGGATGGCTCCTCTGGCAAGGCAATCCTTTCATACTACCACACATTACAAACCAGGGTTTTCAAAACAGAAGCTTAAATTTCAGGGACAAAAAATCAGTACCCGCTTTAAAAAGGAGAGGGATGGCAGTGAGGCAACTTGACAGAAAGTTCCTGCAGCTGGTGTACAACTGGCAGGATAGAGCCCTGCTCCAGGAGAAAGAAGGATCTGGCTGTAAGTAGCCTATTCAAGCTAGATAATGCTCACTACTGGACAGGCAAGGCACCAGCACGCGTAGCTCCGAAGAGGACACTTTGGACTTGCACATGCACAGAAAAACACAAACAGGAATGTGCGAATCTACAAGCAGATACTCTGCACGTCTAAGGGGGACTGAGCAGGCACAGGGCACACATGGCTTTGCACATGCACACACTTGCACTCACACATACACACAAACACACACAAGCAGCCAGTCTGACTTTGAATTTTTCAAGCTCAAAAGAAGGAGCAATGGGTTTATGAAGCCAATGCCTCTGTGTGTCTGTGCCAGTCCCTGGAAAACCTGCAGGTATGGCAATACCACCGTCCCTTTCCCTCCCCACTCCCAGGCCCTGAACGCTTCCCAACGAACGTGCCATATTCACTGGACTACACAGGGATTTCCATCAAAGGAACAAAAGTTATGGTCATGGCAAGAGCCATCCGCACAAATCCCTCTCAAGTCTCCACGCTGTCAGGAGGTGGTTATAAAAGGTTTCTGTTTGTTTCATACCCAAACCAGGAAAAGAACATTTCTTGTAATAGGCTCTGTCCTCCCTGGCTAGCAGCCCATAGGTCACACGGCCTGGTCGGTAGCAGTAGGTTGGGTAGAAACACGAGGTAGGCCTCAATCCCGTCTATCATGGCAGCTTTTGAGCAGCTTCCTCATGCTGCAACTTGTGGGCTAGATCTTCACATCTTCCTGGATGCTGAGCTGAGAGAGTGTTTTCTTAATGCGGAGGGCCGTTAGCCGAGCTGCACCATTGGCATACCAGCACTCGCGCATCATCTTGCCCATCACTCGTAACGCCTAGCCAGGAAACGGAGAGAAACGTCAGCCCTTTCCCTTTCGGAGAGTTCAGTTCCTTCTGCTAACACAGCGGATCAACGCTTTAAAGTGAATCCGATGCTTGTGGAAGGGGCTGGCGTAACTGTGCCAAGACTGAAGCCCTCTGCTTATCCCCAGAATAGGCACTGCATGGGCAGTAGCAATGCAAGCTCCCCATGCTACCCTGCCAGCATACTTCACCCTTCAACTGGAACTGTTTCACCCCATCTGCATAATGGTGACAGCGAGGTCGTTCTGAGCATTACTTAACATTTGTATAATGCTCTGAAAAAGTCAAGCATTAAGAGGTAGAGCAGTTACATTAAGAGCCCAAGAGCAGTTACAGGGTAACAAAGTTCACTCACTATTATTAACGTGGAATTATTAACCACTCATCCGATTTCCATCATATGCAACGTGGATGGAAAACAATGGATTTGAAACAGACCTGCTATCCAAGCGCTGGGAACACACCTCTGGCCTTCTCCACCGAGTGGAGTGGAAGAGTGACCCCCTACTCTCTAGCCTCAGATGGGAACCTCAAGTCTCCACATTCACTTTCCCACTGGACTTCCCCACACTGATTCTGTCCATGGACCCCAAACCCACCCTGGAGGGACCAGTCACTCCTGGCTGGAGTAGGGAAATCCAGCCTCCACGCTTACTGAATTTGGAACTCAGTGTCCAGGACTGACTCTAAACTTTACCTATTCAGTGGGTAGTGCATTTCCTTTAGGCTCAAAGGAAGATGACAACAAATCCTACCTCATAACTCTGCCACCAGTTAGGGATGTTGGGGCGCAGCTTCTGATCACACACAACCTTCCGCATCTCCTCAATGGAGGGGTCAGAGGGCACAAGGTCATAGTATGGGAGTTGATATTCTTCATGGATACCTAGGCATGGGAAGGGAAATTGTCATTCACAGAGAATGGAAATCACTGCCACTCTCACCAGAACCACAATACCCCTGGCCTGGATGACAGGACTTACAGAAGTGAAGAGTCAGCAATTCAGGGAAGCAGAATGCAAGTAACCAAACTGGGATCAGGCGAGGCCACTGGGGTGAGCACCTCCCCTTTCCTGGGAAAAGGGCCAAGATACATGTACTGACCACAAGTGCTCAAGACTTAGTGGATACCAAAGATGGCACTTACAACAACAGGATGCCCATCCCTGCCCCCATCCACTACTATGTGCTAGGACACTGGTTCAGTACTGATTCATAGGGAAGCAACCTATGTACTGAATCAGCAACACCACTTCCTGCTCTAAGGTTTGGCTAAAGAAATAGGTGTGCCACCAACAGCACAGCTACCCATCACCACTCATGTGCCTGGTTTACGAGCAGTCTTGAGTCTCTTCCCCACACTACCACCATCTTGGTGGCCATACTCCTGGGTGACATTGCATTTACCCCTGTGTCCTGGGACTATAGCAATCTCCACGACTGCCTGAAGGACAGGTTATTCTCTCCTAACTTTGGGCCTCAGTTAAGTCAAAGACAAAGGTTGTGGGGTGGGGGAAGGGGGGCAGCAGTGGGGAGAAGAAGCGGAAAACATTACCTCCTGAACTGCACCTACGAGCAATCTCCCAATAGACCAGGCCAAGGGCATAGATATCAGCACATTTAAATGAATCAAAATGCTTCATGTTAATGGTTTCATCCAAGACCTCAGGGGCCATGTATCTGCAGCAAAGAAAAAACAATGTCATTTCCTTGTCAGAGGGACTCTCTGGAAGACCATCAATGATGAATTCTCCATGTTTATTACCAGATACAGTGCTTGGATGCTGCACAGAAGTTAAACAATGAAAATAAAACTAAGCCCAATGATGCAGACAGAAGCAGGCACCGTGTTAAGAGAGCAAATAGAACAATCATCCACAGCAAAAACAAAAAGAAAGAGGGGTGAAATAGGGAGACAAGAATGGTCAGAGGTGCACTGAGGCTGGGATGGAGGTGAGGGAGCCTCATAGGCGAGTTCCCTGAAGGAGAGGCCATCTAGCCAACCTCAGCCTTGGAAGGACATAAGCAGAGGGAAGAGGCTTGTGACTGCTCAAGTACCTCAAACCTAGATTATTTATGAATAAATAAAAAAGCCACTAAATATTCTCCTTCGATACTCTGGAAACCCTGCCAATGCCTAAGATAGAAACGCTACCGATCCCCAGTGAGGCTCACACATTTTCTATACCAGTGGTTCTCAACTTATCATTTGTGGGCTGCAGCTTGAGAACCACAGTGCCCACCCCCAAAAAACACCCCACAGTCCCCTATGTCCAGCGCCCCCCGCTCAGAGACCCCTCCACAGAGCAGGGCTAGGCAGCGGGGACCTGAGTCCCTACCCCACAGCCTAAAACCTGGGGATGCTGCAGCACCCCCACAAACCACTAGTTCCCAGTGCCTCCCCTCCCCACAAACCTGCCCAGAGACCCATTCTCCCACACCCTGCAGCACTCACCAGCCCCCTGCTGGCAGGAGCACTCCAGCAGGCTGCCAGACGCTGTCTCCCCTTCAGCTAGCCCTACCCTCTTTCAGACCAGAGCAGCAAATTTTGATATTTGTTTTTTAGCATGCCACACGTGGCCTGAGAACCGCTGTTCTATACCCTCATTCTGATGGCATTGAACCTTGACCAGGAATACAGCTGAGCCCTCTCCCTACCGTTTGGTTCCAACCCTTTGATTTGGTGCAATATCAATGGTGTCGGTAACAGAATCATGCCGGACAGCCAGACCCAGGTCAGCAATGGCACACATGCCGTTCTTCTTCACCAGGATGTTCTTGGATTTCAAGTCCCTGTGTGCAATCCCTGGTTTTCCTGGTGGAGTAAAATAAGTCTCAATAGCAGGATTTTCCTCTCTCACCTTAGTGTATCTGATCAGTGAAGATGAGCTGAACACAGAAAATGGAGGGACTGAGGCGGTCATCAAATCCAGAGTGAATTTGAATCTTAACATCTCTATGCACAGTAGGATCTGCAGCCCTATTCTGCTTCCAGTCTCTTATTTAAATTAAGCTCTGTACCAGTGAAAGGTGCTAAAAACACTAAAGAGCTTCCATTTACCCTCCAAGTACTATTATTTAAACTGCAGCAGACCCTCTGCACCAGGTGTCTCATCCACACACAGACATAATCCCTGCTCTGAAGAGTTTACAATCTGTTTTGTTCTGCCATTGCCTATGCTAACCTCTTCTGTGCTCCCCATCCAAACCAGTGCAGTTAAAGGTGTGTGTGTGCACTAGAGAGAGAGAGACGTGGACACCTGTTTAACAGGAGCTGGACTAAGACTAACTTGTGTCAATGTCACTTGCTCAAGACCAAACTGGCCTAGATTCAGTCCCCAGGTCCTTAAGGCACTTTTCCTCTTTCATTTTATGATTAAATTCCAGCTCTCTCTCAGTACAAGGCACCTTGTGCATCATACAAGCCCCATATTTGTGTCTTCACCTTTCCTGCTTTAGTCTCTCCAAAGAATGTCTAGTTCATGGTTAGGATACTTTGCTAGCATCCTCTTACCTTGTGTCCCCACAATCTCCATGTGTAGGTGTGCCAACCCACTGGCAGCAGACAGGGCCAGTTTAATCATCCCCTCAATGGTCACTGTGTATCTGTTGAGGTAATCAAATAGAGAGCCATGCTCATGGTAATCAGAGACAAGCCACAGCTGAGTCCAAGTCCCGTTATCTGCAGCAAGAGAAAAAGGGGAGAGAGCAGCATAACATCAGCACTTACGGTGCATTTTGTTTTTGAACAAACATAGGAAGAGCTGCTAGATTAGACTGCAGGTCAGCAGCCAGTCTGAGCAGACAAGGGAAGAACTGAAAGGCAAAGTGTAATGATTACTTCTAGCACCTTAGTGCTATATATATTTAGTACATTTCCTAAGCAGCTTTTCACATTACCTGTCACTGCTTCAATAGCTTCTACTATGAATGACGCAATGTCTCTGCTAGTGACAGCAGCAATTTTACGGATTCTTCTCAGGCAGAAGGTGAGTTCTGTGGATTAAGCCCATACTCAGGGACAAAGGAAGTGCTGCTAAGCATTTCAGTGCACAGGTCAGGTTGTTCTCTATCCCTGTTTCAACTAAGTTAAATTATTAGAATTATTTTGATCTAGCAAATACTTCTATTAACTGGAAACAAGTGAAGAGCAGAACTCACCATGTTAAGAATGTTTTAACAAATAATTTAACTTACATTAAAACATGAAGTCTCCTGAATGCGCTCATGCATTCAACTATATGCAAGCTTCCTTTGTAACAACTTATGTCACACTGACAGACAGCTTTAATAGTTTTTAATGATCGCTGGCTATTTTTATAATTTGGGGAAAAGGATCATAACACTTTACAAATATTTTGATGGCTTTCTTTATCTATTTAATTAAAAAAGTAAATCCTATACTAGAACATGGAACTCTGAGGAACCTATGGCCATTAGTGCTTTGGCTCTGAAGGTTGAGACAGCATTTTTAATTTACCTTTGTTATCTGCAGCAATAAACCCCAAGATGTTCTCATGTCGCAACATGACAGTTTGGTATATTTCTGCTTCCCTAAACCAGGAGCGCTCTTCCCGTGAAGAGAAGATTTTCACAGCCACATCACCTCCACGCCACCTGCCACGCCACACCTCACCAAAGCGGCCTTTTCCAATGATCTCCTGCAGGACAATGGTTCGAGCCACAGTTCGCTGGACAAAGAGTGGCAAACCTGCGGGCAAGAGATTGAAAGATGAATTCAGATGAGGGACACTCAAGAGATGCTACAAGGTTTAGGGTTGTCTGGGTTTGATTTGATTGTATTTAGCAGTCTAAATAAAAACCCAAGATCCACCCGTGGTACCCAAGACCCATATCCCATTCTGCCAGGGATGGAAGCGTTTTGGCCCACAAGTACAAGTTTTCGCAACGAGAAAATGTCACGTCCCTCCCTCAAGAACTGATTTGGGAACGGTGATCGGAAAAGAAGATCATTCTCATCCTTGGCCTTTCTTCCAACATATGAATCAGATTGTTATTGTTCTCTCCCCATTGCCAATCATTCACTGTCACTGTAAGTCACTGATCACTTCAAGACACTTCTCTGTGAGCTCAGTTTTTATTCAGATCAACAAATCTCTGTGGACAAATACTCTGGAGAACAATCCTGCCCTGTGTTCAGTAACCAGTTATTCTGACGGGATCCGAAGCACTATTTTATATAGGTTCTTCTGCTGCACTCATTAGTCACTATCTGAGCGACCACATGCACGTTGGACCATCTTTGTCAAAAAGAAATAAAACAATTTCTAACCAAAGTTACCCTAAACCTGCTACAACAACAGGGCCAACAGGTAAGGTCTTTCATCAGCAGTGGCAAATCACCAACAAAATCAAATGGCTAGCCTTCTCTCTACAAGAAAATCAGTAAGTTAACACACTTATACAGACCTAAAAACATCTCAATGGATTTACACCACAAGAGTCCTGCAATTTCTTAGCTGTTCCAAATCACTTTGGGTCAAGACCTTGCATACCACCTTGTGCTGTGATCCCATCAGCTCTTGTAAGCTGAGCAGAGTCAGTGCTCACAGGGGGAGAGTTCTCGAAGCAACATCGAGAGGCTATGTGTAAGAAGTGGAGAGACAGCAGTAAAATAAACAACACCACAGCATTTGTTAAGGGGCTATTACACTGCTGTAGGTGCAGTCTTTCAGGTAAGACACAAAGTTGGAGTCCTCACTAGCTCTGGTCATTAAAGATCCCATAGCACACTTCGCACGAGACACAGCATTTAATGCTTATGTCCTGGCCAAATGCCTGCTTGGGTAAGTTAGGGTACGTCTTCACTTACCGGAGGGTCCGGCGGCAGGCTGGTTTAGACGCAATAAATCGATCCCGGAAGTGTTCGTCGTCGACGCCGGTACTCCAGCTCGGCGAGAGGAGTACACGGCATCGACGGGGGAGCCTCCCTGCCGCATCTGGACCCGCGGTAAGTTCGGACTAAGGTACTTCGAATTCAGCTACGTTATTAACGTAGCTGAATTTGCATACCTTAGTCCGAAGTGGGGGGTTAGTGGGGACCAGGCCTTACATTGCAGGGGTAATCTGTGGAGGCAGAATGTTGACGGGATATACAATTCATTTCTTGTCCCAATCTGTTGTGGAACAGTGTTGTGTGCTGTTAAACCACACAATTCCACCCCAAAGAGGATTCACATAAGTGTCCAGGAAGTGAATCTTGTGGGTAGTTCATTTACACATTTCTTGGGGATTCTTTGGGTTGAAGGGTGCTATATAAATGTAAAATCTGTATACTAGTTTCCTAACTGATGCAATTTCGATAAAGAGAGACTCTGCCATTTCTCCATCCGCTTTGATGGAGATCGTATCATTTGAAAGCTGGTAACCTGTAGATGTGCAGTGAAGTTTGTTAAAAATTCAAAATTAGTTACAGAACCAAACACCAATCACATGAACCAGATGCACTGTATCCTGAGTGAAAGTTCACACCAGAAAGCAGGGACAGCTATATCTGATGTCGCATTTACAGGTAGATGGAATTGTTTCCTGGGTAGGATCTAGATTTTATATACTGAAATCCACAAAGACGACTTTATGTAAATGCCAAATGACTCAATGATGATAGAGTGCAGTATCTCTTATACATTCTACAGTTCCCATCACCAAAAGTATCCAAGTGCTGATACTGGGCCTCTGGCTTCCCTGTCTAATGTACAACTCAGACTGTACATAAGGAAGGATAGCCAATGGCCTAATATTAGAACAGATACCCTGGTGATGAGCACTTCAGAAGACAGGATTCCATTACAGTTACATGTCATTTATTATTTCCAAAGCAAAAGCAGCTTAGTACCTGAGCCAGAGCCAGAAGTGGAGAGATCATAAACTAGATCTTGCAGAGTCTTATCCTTGGACAGACACATTTCACAAGAGGGATCTTCCATGTCCAACCGCTGACGATTGTGATAAACTCGTTGGTGGTGATGAAAGACGAAAACCACTACGATCATGATGACAAACAAAAGGAAGACAGGCCCTGCAATCACTGCTACTAACTCCACAGGGCCCCAACTAGACTGAGGTTCATTCTCTTTCACGTGACCTTTAGTGGGAGGAGGGAAAAAACATTTTAAGCACAACCTGATTCCTTTATTTATATACACACACCCCTGTAGGCAAGAGTCCCTAACTCCTTCTCTTAGAGCCCGAAGTACTTTAACTCTGTCTCTCGACGTTGTAAAGGACACTCCAAGCAGCAACATTAATTCACTACCTATTGCAAAGCGGAAGTAAACAGGCTGGGTAGGAATAACAGATGAGGAAGGTCATCGCTTTTACTGAAACTGCAAGAAGCAGTTGATGACCCCAGTTGAGTGCCCAGTTTAGGGTTTACAATAGTGTATTTTCGGTCATGAAGTGAGACTATATTGGAACAAAAAACTAACTAACCAATCAGAAGACCAGTCTGCAGTGCATCTTCCGTCTGAGCACAGAATACACCTCACTTACATGAGGAATGGCAGCTTTGTTTATGGGGGGCCCTGTGCACCTCGACTTCCCTTTTATTCCTGCCCAGGAGGCTCAGTCTTGGATTAACCTAGCTTTCTGCCCTAGGCCTGGATGTGTTGCTCCCTCCCAACACAGTCACTACCGCCTAACTTAAGTTCAATGCAAAGCACTCCTTCCCACCTTCCCCTTAAAATAAATTGTCATTGCCTTCACATAGCACTACAGCTAAAGCATTAAGTTGGCTACCATCAAAGCCAACTTTCTTAATAAAAATTATAGTGAAGGAGGAAGGAATTATCCCCCACGTGTAACAGCTAATGAGTCTTTAAAATCAACAACTGCTGAAGGGTTTGAGCTAAACAGAAAAACAGAGACTTCCCCTCCTATCTTGATGGATGATGGTACCATTCTGCAGTTCATGAGAACCCAGAGAAACTGCCCAGAATGGGGGAGATAAGCAGCCACAAGAGTGCGGACTGAATGGGTTGTTGGGTTTAGTGTGTGGTTGCTGAGCATTACAGGTCAGATTAGACAATGTGGTGGTCCCTTCTGGCCTTGAACTCTGACAAGTCAGATTTCTTCCAGCCCTCTCATTCCAGGACAGGTCTATTTCTATTGCACTCACCCAGAGGTCAAGCATCTCCCTCATTTTACGCTGAATTGTAAAACCACGCCCAGAGCTCATGACAAAGGCGTTTCAGTCCCACAGGAAGCAATTCTATTGCATAAAGAGCAGACTGCAGTACCACTCAATGCCACAAGGGGGATCTTAGACTAGTCCCAGGGACTGCTCCTTATCCTCCGGCCATCCTGGCCTGAGAGCGCTATGCAGAGGCAGGACATCCATGACTGAGTGGCAGCAAGAAATAACCTAATTTTCAAAGGACTGGGGGGGGGAGGGGGGAGAGCGGCACTAGGGGCAATGCTGATGAGGTGGGAGACGTATGCTGTCTTGATCATGTCAAACATTTGAAGATGGGCGAACCAAAGGGGAGATCAGAGAAAATCCAACTTAGAGGCTTCTTCCCACCCTACAAACTGAATGGTGCAATGTGATAATATTTGCCTATATCAGAGGATCTTAAACTGCTTCACAACCCTCTGTGAGGTATATCACCACTATTCCCTTTTTGCTGATGTGAAGGAATTGCCCATATTTACAAAAGCAAGATAGTGGCAGAACCGGGAACAAGATTCAGGAGTCCTGGCTCCCAATCCAGCTCTAACTATTAGACAGTACCCCATCTTCAATGAAATAACAGCGGATTTCTTTACTCACCACTGGGTACCTTTAGGTCAATTTCGTTGCAATAATCAACATAGCAGCAATGTGTGTTCCGCAGATCTTCTGAACTCAGGCAGTAGAAGGGTTTTCCAGCAGGAATCAGCTCTGCTTTAGGGATGCAGGTCCGGATGTGGTGCTCAACTCCGCCCAGGTTGGAGCTGGAGACCATGCAAGCCCCATCTGTTTTGCAGGTGGAGTTTGCTTGATTGCAGTTGGAGCATAAACAGATCAAAGCTGCAGAAATCAGGACACAGAAACCTCCTTGAAACTGACCAGAGTCGTGAGCAGGGAAACTCATCCACCATTGGGGTAGGACTGATCATTCTACGGCTTTGCCGAGACAGAACTGGCTCTAAAAGGGACCGATAATATTTGCTGAATGTTTCAGACAAAGAATAAGGCACTAGGGAACAGAGGGTTGTTTTAGGAAGGCAGTGGGGATTATAGATTTCCCCATCCCCCTCTAGTTCCATAACACACAGCCACCAATGATAATCTGATCAACTTTCAGGCCATGCAATAGATCGGGGTGGCCAACCCGAGCCTGAGAAGGAGCCAGAATTTACCAATGTACATTGTCAAAGAGCCACAGTAATACGTCAGCAGCCCCTCATCAGCTCCTCCACTCCCCAACCCCAGCGCTTCCCACCCACTGGCAGCCCCGCTGATCAGCACCCCCCCCCACACACACACACCTCCCAATCAGCTATTTCATGGCGTGCAGGAGGCTCTTGGGGGGGGGGAGGGGGTAGAGTGAGGGCACAGAAGGCTCAGGGGAGGGGGAGGGAAGGGGTGGAGTGGGAGCAGGGCCAGGGGTTGAGCATTGAGCACCCCCGGGCACATTGGAAAGTTGGCGCCTGTAGCTCCAACCCTGGAGTCAGTGCCTATACAAGGAGCCGCATGCGACTCCGGAGCCACTGGTTGGCCACCCCTGCAATAGATAACATGTCTTCTGTAGCTGAATGCAGTGGCCACTGAACAATGCTGGAGTCTGCCAATGTGAATTAGACCAGTCCAGCCCCCACCCCATAATGAGGCACTTAAAAAGAAGGTAAGAAATTATAAATGGTGCGTAAAATCTGAAAGGTGAGGGTCTTAGAGGGCAACCATCCTGCCAATTCAATTTCCTGACAAATAGAGTCATGATGGCTGGGCCTCTGTCTTAATTGCTAACAAGGGGGGACTGAAAAATTGGGTCTGTTTTTCTGGTAGCATCTAATTATTAAGCCATTCCCCTCTTCATGAGTCAAGGTTCAGAAATAGTTTTTCTAATTAAATTTATTATTCATTAGACAGTGCTGGAGTCAAGACCGGTCAATCCTTAGAATAGGTTCTGCACCAAGGCATACTTCTCCACCAATTTGTTCCAAACCTGACCCGGGGGTGGGGGAGAGCCACACTAGGGCTGAGAATAAGTTCAGTGCCCTTAGTTCCTGAGCCTCCACTGAGATTACAAACTAGCGTCCCAACTGTAACATGGATATCCATCCACTACCGAGTCGACTGAGACTCACCATCTTATTTCACAGACAATTGTTCGGTGATTTAACATATGGTTTCCTAACCAAGATTGGATTCAGATCAGTGACGAGAGGCAAAAAGCTCTGCATCCCATTCATGTTCTCCTGAGCCAGTCAGTTCTTCAGTAGCCGCTTTCTGATTTGACAGACTATCTTGGGTTAAATAAATTTCTGGTTTCTTGCTATCGATAAAGATCCCCTTCACTCTTTACCCAAACAAACTCCAAAGACAGATTTTCATATCTCAGCCTCCCAGCTGTCATCATTTCTCTCTCAAGCTGCCTGAAAATCTGCAGCCAAATCCTTAGCCAATGCCATGCTAGGAAACAAAGGGAATTTAACCATGTTAGGAAGAAGGGTGGGAACCGTTTAATATCATGTACTACTTTCTTCAGCTTTCATCAGATCCCCGTCTCCCTGGAGGGATTCAGAAACATGTACATACCCGCTGCAGAGATGGTTTTTAAGGCAGAAAGTTTAAAGTAACATTTAAAGTATATAAATGAGAGCAGCGGTTACCTGTCCCCCACTCAAACAGACTTGGAGGAATTTGCTGTTGATTTTCTCCCCCACTTTACAAATATTGTGGATGAGAAAAATCACCACACTGGACTACACTTCCCTTTCCATGCTCCAATGTCAGTCACCTTCCTGAGGTGTCACTGGAACTCACAGCCTTCAGTTATACAATCTTGGGGGATGAACAGATTTAACAAGCCAAGTAGGTCAAGATTAGGTCAGTATTTGGATGGAAGACAGCTAAGAAAATCCAGGGTGCTGCAAGAAGGATCTCCTCCTCTTGAATCAGCACTGACCCCAAAGCTCCAATGTAGTGGACAAGAATACAAAACAGGTCCTGATCACTTGTGGTCATGATAATTTCATGACACATTGAGCCAGCATCCTGGCTAAATCCTAATTTGGATAATTACATTAGAAGTCCTTCTATTTTCCCTGAAGTGTCAAGAGGACACTGTTAATTTCCTCTTTCAAACTGTTGCTGTGAGCTATTAAACAGCTGTCATATTCCACCTCAGAGGCAGCTGTAGCAATTTAGATAAATTAAACTGGATACTGATTTTGTGTGAACCAAGAACTATACAATGTAAAATAGTACAAGAGATTGAAGACCAGTTAAATACTAAAAACAGATGATAAAAGTAAATTTTCTTCCCAAGAGCACTTCATAAGTGGTAAACATAACTTAGTATTTCTGTTCTGGGTCTAGCACAGACAGATATCCACAGGCCTCATTTCTATTTTGGGAGTGGGAAAGAGAAACTGAAGACAAAGACTGGACTATTCTGAGATGGGAAAGAAGCACCCTTTCTATAATATGCTGCTGAAAGGGGACCTGCTTTTATTATTAAAAAAGGCAAAACAATCGCTAAGGCTTGGCTTGACAAAACAACTTGAGTTCCTGATCTTCATTTTCCACCGCTCATTAGAATAGGGTCTCATTCTAAATGAATCACTAATGATGCTGGCCAAGATTTGTCCACATGCTGTTGTGTGCTGATTGTCCAGCTTGGCTGCAAACCTCCTCACCAGAGATGGCTGTGCATTTTAGTGGCACATGACATGAAGGGATTCTTGTGTTTGCATCTGGGAACCTATCGAATAAAAGGAGCAGGACGAGAGTAAGGGAAGTTATTTCTCAGTGAACAAATGTACATACTTTATTGCACCTTTCATTAGAGGACCTCAAACTTTGCAAACATTCAGCTTCACAATCCCTACGCAGCGGATGACCTTTAACTCCATTTTATAGAAAAGTAAATGGAAGCAAAATGCCCCAGACCACACAGCAAATCAGTGCCAGAACTGGGAATAGAATCTGAAGTCCAATTCCTACCCCCTGTTCCAAACATTATACTACTTCCCCTTCCTAAATGTCTGAATGGCTCTCTTCTTCTCTTTTATGAAGAAGTCCAGTACTCGCATGTATAGACACATGCAGCTACCCTAGAGCAAAATGGCCAGCTAGAACATCGTTCTTCTGCAAGTGCCCCATACTGGACAACTGTAGGAGCTGCAGCAAGAACGTCTCAGATGCTGTTTTCCAGGGCCTGGGCAATTGGCTGTTTTCCAGGGCCTCTCTGCGTCGATGCCTGGAGGGAAATAGGGGAATTAAGGGACGCCAGCACAAACAGAATTACAAAGGCAACTCGTGCAGTTCTAGCATTTCAAGTTCTGATTAACCAGAAGGGAAAGTTCTTCCTACATCAATAAAACCAGAAGCAAAACCCAGTATTTCTAAAAGAAAAACGACAATTCTTTCCCCTTGGAGAGTGTTCAAAACCCAACAGGTATTTGAAAGCTGAACACAAGCTCCTTTCAAAGCAAGATTCTGAGAGCAGCTGGGGATGTTTGGGCAAGTCAAAAGGAGAAATGACTGAATAAAAGAAATTTTCACACTAACAGCTATCTTTTTCTGAAGAAAAGGCTCTTATTGGGCAAAATATATAATCTACTTAAATAGAAGAATTGAGTGGGCTAAAGAAAATTGACTGGACAAAAGAAAACAAAACGACAGTTCACACAATTGGTGTCTTTAGTTCCACTAAAGTGCCTAGGGATGAGTTTGCATGAAAGGTGCTATAGAAGTTGGCAGTGGATTCTGTTATAGCTGTTCAGTACACTGTCTTTTTGACATTCTGCTCAAAGACAAACCCAACCCTAAAGAAGCTGTTTAAACAAGTGTAACATTAAGCTGCAGAACCTCAGAATGAAAGCTTTGTTCTCACTCTAAAAGATAGATCAGATCTGGATTTATGCTGAAGTGAACTGTCACTGTGATTTAATCCAAAGCTGAATGCTGGTGGTCATGACATCAATTGAAGGGGTGGGGGAGCTCCTCCAGTTCTATCCCTATATATTTTTTTTAAATTGCACACGGGCAGTCAATCAACACTGCCACAGGAAGATTTAGAAGAGAGTTAAGGAATCCTCCCTTTTTATCACTTGGTTTATGAAAGGAATGTTAATCAGAGCTATAGCAGCACTGCTGGGACTGATGGGCTCTGAGCAACAGCTCTCCTCTTCTCAGGAGGACTGAAAGATCTAGGCAGAATCACCACCACCACCACCCTGGAGATAGAAAGATGGCAGATGATACCAGGCTGGGAAAGGTTGCAAGCACTTCAGAGGACAGGATCAGAATTCAAAGTGATCTTGACAAACAGGAGAAATGGTCTGAAATAAACAGGATGAAATTCAACAAGGACAAATGCAAAATACTACACTTAGAAAGGAATAATCAATTGCACAAATACAAAATGGGAAATGACTGCCTAGGAAGGAATACTGCAGAAAAGGATCTGAGGGTTAGAGATCAGAAACTAAATGTGAGTCAACAATGTAATACTGTTGCAAAAAAAGCAAACATCATTCTGGGATGTATCAGCAGGAAGTTGTAAGCAAGACAAGAATTCTTCTACTTTACTCAGCACTGATAAGGCCTCAGCTGGAGTACTGTGTGCAGCACTGGGCACCACACTTCAGGAAAGATGTGGACAAACTGGAGAAAGTCCAAAGGAGAGCAAGAACAATGATTAAAGGTCTAGAAAACATGACCTACAAGGAAAGAGTGAAAAAATTGGGCTTGTTTAGTCTGGAGAAGAGGAAGGGGGGACACAATAACAGTCTTCAAGTGCTGAAAAGGTTGTTATAAAAAGGAGGGTGATAAGTTGTTCTTATCCACTGAAGACAGGACAAGTAGTAATGGGCTTAAATTGCAGCAAGATAGATTTAGGACTCTATCCCCTGAGCCCTGAACCCACCAAACCTAGCTGAATCCCGCCACGTGAGGGTCACTCCATCCCCATTACCCAGCCCGCTTACTTATACCCATGACTGTCTCTACTTCCCGTATGGGTGATAGACCCTCACCGCTTATAGACTGTTTCCTGATCCCGCCCACCGGTTACCCACCCCTCATTGGGGACATTGCAGTCTGTATATACTATGTGTGCTGCCCAACCCCAAAACACCAACATACCCCTATACTCTGTATGTTACCCCCAATGACCAATAACTGACGCTTCAAATTTTCTGTATCATTTATTTTTTAAATATTCTCTAATAAAATTTAAAACTTTACTGTAAGGGTCAAGCACTGGAACAAAATACCTAGGGAGGTTGTGGAATCTTAATCACTGGAGGTTTTCAAGAACAGGACAGACAACTGGCAGGGATGGTCTACATAATACTTAGTCCTACCGCAGTGAAGGAACTGAAATAGATGACCTACTAAGGTCCCTTTGAGTCCTACATTTCTGTGATTTTATGGGCAGCAGTAGTGCCATCGCTGGTATTGGCAGGATTGTTTTGTCAATCCTGCCAACTGGTCTACTCTACTTTTTTACTAATGTAGTTCTACCAAGGAGAGGGCTAGTGTAGACAAGGCTCTTGCAGCATTTTAATAAGGATGTCATTTAACCCTTCTCAGATCAATCTACATAACACAAGGGCTAACACACCAGCAACCACTGGAACCTTATCTACTCTAGAATGCCTACTAAAAGAATTAAGCCTCACAGTATCTGTATGAGGTAAGCAGGCCACCCACACCAGCAAACAGACACACAGAGGCTAAAGTTGACCTGCAAAGAAAACAACAGTTTGCGCCCTCTGTTACTTCTTTATATTTTATGATTGAGAGGCATGTATGCATGCACGCACATCGGAAAAAGAAATAAGTGCCTTTCAGGCCTTCACTATACACTACAATGAAACAGAAATGGGACACAAAATCAATGTGTCACCTGTAAATGACTTGCCCAAGGTCAGACAGTGAGTCCACTGCAGGACTAAGAACCGAATCCATCTTTCCAATCTGCCAGTCCCATGCATAAATTGCTAGACACCCATCTGTGTCATGCATGGGGCAGGATGACAGTGGCTGCAAGTCTAGGGGCTGTTCAAGGACACAATGAAGGTTTCATTCTCAAAACATAAGAACAAGGGATACTCAAGACTAATCTAACAGATTGCGAAATTGACTACACATTGCTAAAACCCAGTGTTCAAATCAATAAGAGACAATTATGCCAGATAAAATTTTGGTCACTGTCATCAAGTTGGCCAGACCTTGTTAAAGTTAAACAACTAGGCAGAAGACTTTTTGTTGTTTTAAATTTAAGAGTACAGAAAATCAGTCTAAAAATCAGGCTCACGTCCATGCTAGTTCCTGATACATCCCACTACTTTCATCCTGACCATTGCAACTCTCTTTGCCCAGAGCAGCTGGCATTACCAAGTCCAAGTTCTAGAGTCTGGTAGGTACAGAATGCTGCTGCTCACCCTCTCTCTCATATTAAGAAACAGTAGCACAGCACTGTCGATTCTCAAGCCACTTCACTTGTTCCACAATAGAACTCAACTCTGAAACAAATAACCCATGTACCCATTCCAGCTACTTCACAGATCTTGTTTCTTTACTCCTCCAGCAAGTGTGTCCCTCTGTTCTACCACACAATGACGACAGGATCGGTGCAAGAGCTTTCTCTTCAGATGATGCCACCATTTGAAACAGCCTTCCTACATCTTGGTGCCTCAACAACTTTCCATCTACTTCCAGATCTCATCTGCAAATGTCTCTTGTCCCTTGCCGTTATTTCTTAAATCTGCTTTCCAATTGCTATTAATTTTACATTTTTACTTTGTAACCACTAGTTAATGCTGAAATCATTTTCTGGATAATATGAAAAAATTTGTAGAAACTAGAAGTTACACTAGAATCAATTAAGTTAGAAATAAAAAGAGCCAACCAAAAAATTGAGCGCATATGACCCCCAGAAGCTGGCTACAGTACTCTGACAGAGGCTGAATTGGATATTAAAGCAATACTACTGAATGGAAAACATACAGGGGAAAAAATGCAGTCAACATGCACTTTCTATTACAGTGAGCAGTTGTCACTGTGCAGTACCAACCTCTATTACACAAAGTGACAGCCTCTGAGTGGATTGACTTATTTCAATTCACTTCTTTAAAATTCATTGTTATTTGAATACATTGAATGTTAATTAAAATAAGGCCTGATGTCTCTGATTGCTGTTCTTCAAGTCAGAAAACGAATGCTGGATCTGTGTTCCCACCCCCCACCCCCACTCTAGCCTTGACACCTGTTTAACTAATTTTACATTTTTAAAATTTGTTATGAGAACAATAAATTTAATTAAGCCCAAATCCGTGCTTCAGTATTAGGAAAGCTTCTTCTAAAAGTCAATTCTATAGCAAACCAAAGATGTTCATCATTCACTGACAGTTCTTAGGGCCCAAACCCTGACAGTTATTGATGTGATATATTAAAAATATTGTTTATCGTTGTAAGTAGGCCCAGAGGCTTAGGCAACAAGCATGTGTCTTGTGAGTAAATAAAAAGGTTATTGCTGAAATAACTAGGACCAAAGAGCCATCCCACCACTGCACATCTATCCACACTCCATGACTTGACTTACAATATTTACTATTAGTGGGGGTTTCGATCACAGAAATTCCCTCATCACAGCTTACTCCACTGGAATGCACAAACAAAAGAGAACTTAATTATCTTGTTGCACTCAGATAACTACTCCCTGGATACAGGGAGAGAAACCATTCCCACTAGCTGACACCCTGTGAACTTTGTTTGCTATTACAGAACTGACGTTTCACTTTACTCCTTTCGCAACACTGGCTTCCGGTGTATCCACTGCTGGCAACAGATTATGTACCCAGAGAAAAAAAAAAAGTCTGAGTCGTCTGGCCAAGTGGTTTAAAAGAGTTCATGAATGCCTGTTGGCCAGTTTTTAATTTCCAGTTAGAAAAAAAAAAATACTTTCTTTGAGAGTTCTAAAACATGAATTATGTACCATTCAGAGCTAGTCTGATTTAATTGGGTAAATATATATTTTAAGCAGGTGTTAGTCACAGGATCTACCTGTGGAAGATTGTTGACTGCAGAACATTTTAGTGCTTTATTGAAAGGAAGCAAACAAAAAATCCCACATAACGCTGTACTAGAGATAACCAGGGAGGGAGGAGGAGGGTGTTTTGTAAGTCTTATTTACTAATGCATATAGCACTTTAAAGCTGTTAGACTCTCAAGTAAAACACATATAGGGTGCAACAGAAAGCTTCTGAGACCTTGTTTGTTAAGGCACACCGAGTTTACATAATGGCTTCTTAAGCAGCAAACAGCCTTAGATCTACACTCCCGGCCATTTCTTATTCCACCCAGAAAGACTGTCTCCTATAATCTTTTTATGCTGTTCTACAGAATTAGTTGCTTGTTCACATAACTATCCTTCCACAAACACCAGGACCTACTCACACCTTCTTCCCTGTCCACAAGTCCATACTGCACTAACACCTTTCACACACAGTGTGAATGAAAATACAAAAGATGCTTAATGGAAACATTAGCCAGCTATACAAAGTACAATATCAAAGCTACAGATAATCAGGTTAATTTCCACAAAACACAGGAAGTCAATTATCCATTTCCTGTTTATTTTTATATGCACAAACTTTACGGAAGATGCAAGATGAAGATTTCAGAACAGAACTGAGAGGGGAACCTCACCTAGACCTTTGACGGATTTCAAAGAGGGTGGCTTACGCAAATTTCTAAGGCTATATGTCATTCTGAGTTTTAAAAAGTTCATATACCTATCCTCTGCCCAAGTGCATCTGTATTAACAGCAATTTAATCAGAAATGTCAAATACATTATCTGCTGCTTCACCGGCTAGCAACACACATCTGAGCCACTAAAGACCCAAAGTTATACAATCTGACATAGGTAAAATAAGCTGTGGGTCTCAATTCTCATTGGACTCCTATTCAAATTACTGTACACAAGCAGCTATCCCTATTAACATTCTTGAGGGCAATTTTCCAGAGGCCAAGGACTGAATGGGCCATGAAGAAGCAGCTATCCTCTGCCCCCAGCTTAGAGGCAGCCAGGGCTGAGGCAGATAGGCAGGAAAGTTACTACTAGACTAACTCAGTGAATAAATAGAAGGAAGGCATCAGTCTTCAGCCTAATCAAGCTGATGCCTTTCACCAGCACAAGTTTCAGTTTGTTATTTTTTAAATCAAAACAGCAGCACTTGGCTTTAAGTAAAAGGATCCCCACAGGTTAAAAGAAACAGTAACACCTGATAAAACCACACAAACAGCAACTGAGAATAGGTTTCCTCCAGCCCCATAGTGAACATTTACAAGTGTTGCAGTACTGGAAGTGGTTTGGAAGCTTCTGGCCTCCTCTAC